AGCACGGTCGGTGTCAGGCGGTCACGACCGATATCGCGAGGCGCTGGTGGGAAGTGACAGTCGAAAAGGTGCGCGAGGGCGGTTGGAGCTACCCCGGGCGGGGGGGCGGGGAGCAGAATGTATTTTCCCTTCTCACCCCCGGTGAGATGACCGGCAAAATTTCTCTTTCCCCCCCAGAGCCCCAGGCAAAACGTTCCTGCCCCGTGGGAGACCTCTGCAGAGGCAACACCGGCCTGCAGGAGCAGATCCCACGAGCTGAGGAGAGGGCATTTTAAAACATCGTTTGCTGACGGCCAGAACCGTCTCAGGCCCCCGTTCCCGCCCAGAAGCATCCTCCAGGTTCACAACCGGAATCACACAGAAAAATCTCATCAACCTCTCCCGGGCTAGTCACGTCAGGCAGTTGCACGCAGGTGTAAACCTTGGCGGGATTTGTCCCTCATTGAAGTTCTTTATCACACTGATACGTCAAAAATGTTACCTGCTTGCAAGAGGTCGAGTTACGTTTCCTGTGGGAACCAAGGTTTTCCTGTCTCTTCTACTTTAACCACAAAATTACATATACATAGCTATAAGTATCACAGAAACGTACTTCTAAAACAAAACAGACCTGTTGAGCAGAAAGTGTAGGAATAAATTACCATAACAGTTTAATGGTCTGCTTCATTTTCACTTAAAGTGTAGTTACAAAGAAAAGGAAACCCAGGCCTGGACCGAGCAACTGTTCTTCTCTGCGTAGGAACCTGCAGTGATAAAGAAGGCGAACGATTTCAAATGGGCTCGATGCTGGGTCCCTCTGAGCCCACGCACACAATAGTAGGATCAGGCCTAGGGGTGCAACAAGTTTCGAAAAGTGGATGTCCACAAAGATTTATTATCAACAGCCTGGTCTGCGTTACGTGGTGTGTTTGACTCTTGCCTTCTTGTGCGTGAGAGCGGCCTTGGTAGGTCAAACCCATTGCCCGCCTAGCCCAGCGTCCGGTCTCCGGAGGCAGCCGGTGGTGAATGCTGAGGGAAGAGCACAGGGATACTTGAACCCTCCAGTGATGCTTGCCTGGGGCATCCTCCCGGCTCTCTGCAGCTCAGGGAGTTCTTTGGCAGTGTTTGGTGTCACCACATCTTGTACTCGCTGGTGATTTTTTCCCTTCTGTTATGTTGCCCGTGTACTTCGTGGATTCATACATGTTTCTGGCTCTTACGGTGTCCTCCGGCAGGGAGTTCCACAGGTGAACCGGCTGCTTGTTATGTGTCTTTGAACCAATATCTGCTGGTTTGCAAGAACCCCCTGCTGGTTCTTGTATTGGAAGAGACAGCAATAATTTCCTATTCATTTTCTCCATTATATTCTTTTTTTTTTTTTTTTTTTTTTGGCCTCTTTTATGCATTGGTAATTAACAGCCCACATTATAATATGAAAAGGCTGTTATTTATTTAAGATGTATACAGGGAAATATATGGTAAAGTGAGACTACTTGAAGTATTCATCTGGGGAAAAAATGAATTCTTTGAAGCATGGGTCTGTTACATGAACCTCTTGTGTTCCCCCTCAGTTTTTGCCAGCTAGCGATTTCTGGTCTTTTTAGTGGTACCACGCATGGAAGCCGTTCCGTACCTGCCCTTCATTGAACCCTTTCTGCTTCTAATGCCTTCTTTTTTGAGACAGGGGAATGGATTTCCATACCCTGCTCGCCATAGGTTCCCCATTCAACATCAGGGCGGTACCAGTCCTCTCCTGATCCTCCCTTTTTTCACTGTTGTTGAGTATGACGATGACATTTCTGTGGAACGTGTCTATTGTAACTCCACGGTCCCTTTCCACAGTGGTAATACTGCCCCAGGGACCATTGCTGTGTTCTTCTGGATGCTGGAAAGATTTGCAAGCCCAAGCTCTGAACTGCAAGTTTTCCAAGCCCAGTATGTAATAACACCTTTCTCGTACCCCTGAAAAACACACTCTGAGTTTCTTAGAGCTGAGGCTCTGAGCCCAGATACACATTTTCAACATTATAGCTCTGATGTGGCTCCACCATAGTGTTCCCTCCCGGCTTTGAGTTTTTATTTTATTATAGTGGGTTTTGTTCTTTGGTTTGTTTTAGTACTATACCATAAGGCCGCTAAAGAAGCAAAAGTGCTAATGACAAGGTTGTGGATCCTTGAAAATCGGTGCATCCCCTAACTTCAGGGGAAAAAAATAGTTTTTGTAAAGCAGTAGGCGCCACAGGAGAGCTTCCTGCTAGTTCCCGGGGTGAAGCGCCGCACCGCCTCACCTTCTTTTTCCTTCCTACGCAAGCGGAGGGATGAAAGGGTTGCTTTCTTGAGGAAGAAGTCTCTCTGGCTGCGGCCAAAACCACTCTGTTCACGTGTTCGTCATGCTCTTCACCAGCACAGTGTACTTGCCCAGTTAGGAAAGTCTAAAGGTTAAAAGACCAAACCTAAAGCCACTGGAAAGAAGATGAGAGCGCTCTGTTTTAACTCTTCCTCCCAGAGCGAAACCAGCACCCCTGAAGGAGACAAAGTGAGACGGCCATCGAAAATCATGGTGCAGATGAAATGCAAGGGAAGGCAATTTCGGCCCTGTGGGTAGTCACCCCGCACAGGGAGCAGTAAATGACTCTGTCTCCTAATGACAAGCTAAGTGCAAGCATCAAAAAATCTGAGTCAGCTCCATCTGTTGGGGAAGACAACGGGAGAAAGCTGCGGGGCCCCCCTGCGCTGCTTTCTGTCGCCCGCAGGCAGACTTGCGCCCGTGCCCGCTCCCTGTGTCCACCGCAGAGGAGCTGTAGTTCCCTGAACGGTTTCAGCATCCCTGAAAGAGGGAGGCTGAGCCTCCCTTTCCCCGGCCATTTGTTCCTGTCCACTGGCACTGCATCCCTCACGTCAGCACAAGCGCTCCTACAGCCGTGCAGCGAGCCAGGACTCACAGCAAAGCTAGCCCAGGGAAGGAAAAGAGTTTTTAAGATTCCTAGTGATCAGTTCCCCGGGCTGGTTCATCGCGTGCCTGCCTGAGCGGTCCTGTTGACGAGGTGGAGGGAGGTCAGAAGCTGCGTGCAGGGGAGGAAGTGTAACCATAGCATTGCCTCTTGGTGGTAGCTGTGGCTTAAGCCAATTTCAACTCTCGGTGGACCCATAGGGGTAGAACTAGAGAAACTTCCTTCCTCACTGGAAGAGGCACTGTGGGAGTAAATGGGAACCCAACATTTATGTTCTGGCCACAAAAGGAATTCCTTGCCCTCTATTTATTTTTTTTCCCCCCACTTCCTTGAAATTGCCTTTGTTTATTCTTTTTCGCGTTTAATGCGCTGGGGGGCTAATCACTGACCAGCGACATAGAGGTCATCAACTGCACTAACTATTTAAGAGCTTAATCATCAACAGTATTCGAGGAGATGAGTAAAGAGTCAGGAAGCTCTGAATTTCCATTTTGTTCCTGCTACTGATTCATCCCATAGCCTTGGGGCATCTCATTTCCTGCCTCCACTCCCATTCCCATGTGTGGA